TTGGGTGGCTTCAGAAGTGAAGTTCCCTGATGGGTATGTTTCAAATCTCTCAAGATGTGTTGAGAAAGGGCAAAAGTTCTCCGGGATGAAGAGCCATGATTGTCATGTCTTTATGCAGCGAGTACTTCCCTTTGCGTTTGCGGAGCTACTACCGGCAAAAGTACATGAAGCACTTTCAGGTAATTAATTAATATACTACGATGACATGATTAATTTATTTATATATATATATATATATATATACTAATGTGGATAATTTTTGTTTTCGTATATATATAAGGAATTGGAGAATTTTTTAGGCATCTGAGCAGCCGCACTCTTAAAGTGGAAGTTTTCCAACAACTTCATGAAAACATCCCCGTCTTAATCTGCAACTTATAGAAAATATTCCCGCCAACTTTTTTCGACGTCATGGAACACCTAGTTGTCCACCTCCCGTGTGAGGCATTACTTCGTGGACCCGTGCATTATGGATGGATGAAAGGGCCATGAAAACTTTGAAAGGAAAAGCCAAAAACCTAGCAAGAGTTGAAGGTTCTCTTGTTGCGGGAAGTTTGATGGAAGAAACATCACATTTCACTTCGTACTACTTTGCACCGAAAGTACGTACAAGGAAACGAGCTCCAAGAAGATATGATGATGGTGGTGTCGTGCCGACATATATGGAAGACGATGTTCCAGACATCTTTTGTCAAATTTGGCGATTGGGTGGGAAATTGAAAGAGGTTTGGTGGTCGAGTGATGAAGACGTCCATAGTGCACACCTTTATTTCTTCTTAATTGCGAGCATCCATTGATTGCTTATTTTGAAAGGTAAATATATAAACATACACACTTATATATATATATATATATATATATATATTCAATATTAAATATATAACATAACATATATGATTTTACAGTCAATTTGAGACTCAAGTCGAGGGAGCAATACCTGGTATATCGACAACTAAGTTAGACAAAAGGAAAGATCAACACTTTATCAAGTGGTTGAGGAAACATGTATTTATTTATTAATTAAATCGTATGCATACATTACCACAAAGTAAGTCTAATGTCTAATTATTTTACTTTTTGTTGCAGGTTGATTATGACGATCCTGAGTATCCCGCATGGTTTCGCGAATTACTTCAAGGTCCAGTGCAAAGGTCACTACATCGTTGATGTATTTCACCCGAGGCTATACTTTTCATACCTATGACTATGGTAGACACCGGGCGACAAGTAATTATGGAATATGTGTGAAAGGCGAAACAGATTTCTACGGGATCTTGCAGGAGATTTATGAAGTTCAATTCCC